ATGACCAGGTGGTTAGGGCACTTGACTCGCAATATGCGGGTTCGAATCCCCCATCCCACCAAACATTCTCGTATTTCAGCTCTGGGGGGGGGGGTTATAATGTGACGATCATCCCCACTGTTCGCTGGTATAAGAGTAGCCCAAGAGTTGGCGGTGGGTGGTGATGACTAGCTATCTTCTCCCTAGTCTTTCACTGATAAATTAAGAACGGCTAGCGCATATAGCCCTCCTGTAGTTTTGTGTTTCATAACAAACCAACTTCTCTCTTTAGTGGTGGCTCAGCTGTAATCCCAAGTGCTAATAATGCTAAAAATTTGGTTTTGATGATCGTGTAGCTTTGGGCTTAGCAACAAATAAATGTAGAATTTCTCAAAATGTTCACTTATGCAGATATATATAATTTTAACACAGAATATCAGTCAAAAAAATAAAGTTCCTTTCGCCCTAGCTATCTATTTTTTCTGGATCATTTATTTAAGATATCACCTGTGTTTTCTTGTATGAAGCTGCATATCCTATGAGAAAGTGAAAAGCTAAATTTCCAATTTTCAGATCAGGTGACCTCTCGAGGATATAAACTCCCTTATTTTTTGGTGGGAATGACAAAGAGTGAAGTGGGTAGTACACCTACCCTAAGAGAAATGGTATCATAGAACTTTATAATATAATGCTTCACTCAGCTCTTTCTGTCAGAAAGTTTGTTGGGTCTCAGAGAAGTCCTATTTTGGATGTTGGAATATTACTGGTGCTACGACAATCTACGACTATCTTCTCGTCGCTGCTGCAGAGTCTGTTTGTTTGTTTGTTTTAGTTTCGCGCAAAGCTACACGAGGGCTATTTGCGCTAGCCGTCCCTAACTTAGCAGTGTAAGACTAGAGGGAAGGCAGCTAGTCATCCCCACCCTCCGCCAACTCTTGGGCTACTCTTTTACCAACGAATAGTGGGATTGACCGTTACATAATAATGCCCCCACGGCTGAAAGAGCGAGCGTGTTTGGTGGGACGGGGATTCGAACCTGCGACCCACAGCTGCAGAGTCGGAAAGGAGAACAACCGGAATCTGGTGCACCCAAAATTGCTAATCGAGTTTTTTACCCTGAGGATCGATTTCAGTGCGTGGGAGGTATTCACGGTGAGGAGTGTTCTGACGAGTCTGCTTTCGAATAGTTGCCTATTATTCGTCCGAAATATGAAAGAATAGTCAACTAATCGAAAACGCTCGAGTTTTTGAATCTTTTAAAATCCACTGTATTTAACGATGTCATTTAAATAAGTTGTTATATGTGTATAATGAAAATTATAAAAAATATAAAAAATATTGTTGTAAAATATCTTCGTGTAAACTGATAAGTTTGTTTGTTGGAAGTTAAGCACAAAGCTACACAATGGGCTATCTATGTTCTGCCCACCATGGGTATCGAAACCCGGATTCTAACGTTGTAAAATATCTTCGTGTAAACTGATAAGTTTGTTTGTTTGTTGGAAGTTAAGCACAAAGCTACACAATGGGCTATCTATGCTCTGCCCACCACGGGTATCGAAACCCGGATTCTAACGTTGTAAGTCCGTGGGGGGTATAATGTGACAGTCAATCCCACTATTCGTTGGTAAAAGAGTAGCCCAAGAGTTGGCGGTGGGTGGTGATGACTAGTTGCCTTCCTTCTAGTCTTACACTGCTAAATTAGGGACGGCTAGCGCAGATGGCCCTCGTGTAGCTTTGCGCGAAATCCATAACAAACAAACAAACTTGACGTCCATTCAACATAGTTTCTTCGATTATCTAACTTAATCAGAAACAAACGTAAATACAGATAACAACATACAGAAGCATGTTTATATTTGTGGTAAAGTTACTAATGCTATTTCCTGCCGTCCCTAATTTTGAACTACTTGCCAGAGAGAAGGCAACCAGTTAGCAGCACCCTACCACCCACAATCGATATTAGGAGACTGACTTTTAATTTTTATAGTGCACCCGCATCTGAAAGTGGGGGGGGGGATATTTTGTGGTATTACATGGGTTCGATCTCGTCTCGCCATCTACGAAATCCCTAGCTCTACCATAGGACCAACCCTCACTTAAATAGACAATAAAAATCTCTAATTCTCGCCCGTAAAGCAAAATAAACAGATAAACTACCCCTTAAACTTTTTTTATTTGAAATAAGACTAGCAAAGAGGAAATTGGAAGAACACTATAAAATATCCAAAAAAAAATTAGTCTGTCTGTGATCTTTATCGGAACTTAGGTCGTATAAACCTTGGAAAGTCAGATGCATTTGACCTCTTCCTCCTAACAAGATGAGTAACAGAATAAAAATAAAATCTTAAACGCATGCGCTGAAAACAAACAAACCAGGAACTATTTCCAAGGAGCGTAAAGTTTATGCCTTCCCATTGGTCGAAGCGGTGTTCTATACAAGTTCTGCACACGTACGAGTACTGTATCTCAGACAGCAACTTACTGGTAACGAAAGCTTCAGGGAGGCGTTGAATTCTGTAAGTATGTTTACCGTTAGTTATTAGTGAAGTTTTATTACATAATATGTGTGTTCTTGGTACTTTAATCCATAAGTTGTCATACATCATAGGAGAACAAACTAAACTTCGTTACTATTTCCAATTTCTTACTTCAATAAAATTGACGGCATCGAAAGCAAATTCGGGAATATTTTAAATGTTTCACGTGTATACAGCTTTTTCTGTATTTCTTAAAAATTGATTCCTAAAAAAGAAAAAAGTTGGGATTTATCACGCGAAGAAAATAAATTGGTATATCCTACGTAGTGCAGGCACTAGTATTAAATTTATTAACTTTAACACGTTCAGGGAAACGAAAATTATAAACAAATAATTACTTGCATATCCGAAGCCATTCTCCAATTCACTTGCAACAAACAAGACTTTATTACAACAGTTTAGCGTCAGCCTAAAGTTTAGAAAAAGCCTGAATGGGTAACGAAGAAATGTTGGGTTTCTTTCGCAAATGTTTTTGGAAGTTCAAGTAATTTGTCAGAAGGTAATTAGTTACCTAAATTGCAGTAAAAGTTCAGTAACTGTTTGATAATCTTTTACTCGCAATTTAGATAACTGAACTTAATTTATCAGGGGTTTGATTTCCTTAACACCTTGGAGCTAATAGGTTTTATACCCCTAGCGGGTAAACGCAAAATCAAGGAAGCCATCTTAACTGAACAACAAATCTATTTTCGCAACCAACACCCCGGGGTGCCAAGTTACCTTTTACGCCTTTACGTTAAACCATCTCCGGTCCTGTGACTTTTGTTTTATACTACATATACTCTAAGCCTTTTTTCACTAACGCGGTGCTAACCCACTTTATTTGATTTGCACGTCATCCCTGCTGTCACATGCAATATTTTTTGTAGTTTTTATATTTCAATCTTCTTAATTATTCTTTGTTTGGTGAAACCACTGGTATGTATATTCTTGTATCTAGATATAGTACTTCTACTTGATGACTTCAAATCATTGTTGAAACGTTGTACGTTAGTGACTGTGTTAGACTTATAATAAAGAAGTGATTAATTATAAAAGATAAAGATCGTGTCCTTTACGGGTTTTTAACCCATTGGCGAGCGTAAAACCTATTAGCTCCAATATATTCTTAACAACAAAAAACACTGAAAAAAAGTACTTTCATATCAAAACCTCCCCTTCAGTGTAAGTTTATGACAGAGAAACAACAGGGTTTCGTTATAAGTAAATAACTAGAAGTCGATAAAGTAGTTTATTCACTTAGGGGAATGAAATAGCTACAAATATTACCTCGAAGTAGGGTTACCAACTATCGTACTTAACAGATAAAATGTGTTTATATTTTACTACTAACTGTTGTCCAAGGGGCAATCCAGGTGACTAGGATGCGTCAAAAAAGTGACCTATATCATGCGACTTTCTTTATGGGCGACCCCTTACAAAAAAAGTCCTACATCAAAATTTTCAAGAGTGAGCAACCCTACCTCGAAGACAAAAATGTCAAGCCTACAACATTCGCCGTTATAAAAAGATGCGGAAATGATAATAATTTTCTATAACTCTTCTTTTCCATAGTATATTGGAGCTAATAGGTTTTACTACACACACACACACACCCGTTATGTAAGTAACCCTAAAGTTACCTACATTTTTGCCCTTTTAATTAAGACCTGTTCTTTTCCTGTCACATGCAGTAGTTTAAGGATCTTTGTAGAAATACAAGTAATTTTACAGATTTTCTTGTTTTCCACAGTATGTTTCAACTAATAGGTTTAGAGCCCTAAAGTGGATAAACGACAAGTAAGTTTCAACTAAATAGGTTTAGTGCCCTAAAGTGGATAAACGACAAGAAAGTTTCAACTAAATAGGTTTAGTGCCCTAAAGTGGATAAACGACAAGAAAGTTTCAACAAAATAGATTTAGTGCCCTAAAGTGGATAAACGACAAGAACGTTTCAACAAAATAGGTTTAGTGTCCTAAAGTGGATAAACGATAAGCAAGTTTCAACTAATAGGTTTAGTGCCCTAAAGTGGATAAACGACAAATCTACACCCCGTACCATCATCTTCAACCTCTCTTAAAGATTTTCAAACGATTAGTAAAGCAATAATTACCATTAGTGAAACCATGATGATTATCCAACAACATTTTACTTTGATATAAGATGCTCTGCATATTCATTTAACAGACTTTTAAGAACTTTTCCCACAACTGATATAAGACTAATAGGCCTATAATTATTGGGACAATTTTTATCATCTCCCTTGAAAAGAGGAGTAACGTTAACCAAGTTACAAAGCGTTTAACTTCAAGCTTGTAAAAATGTTAAAGAATGAAATTAACTAATGAATAATTATTATGTGGACTGGTCCGTTGAATTATTTTCACAAGATAGAATGTAAGAGTCCTCCGACGAGAGAATTACGCTACCATAATACGATTGTCACCTGCAAGAACAGTTTTTCTCGTTCTTACGCGTTAGACCTTCTGTAGCCTGAAATGGCAATGGTCCACCTTCAAGGACGTTAAAGACACGTTTA